TGAACACAACACTGCAGTCCAGAGTAAATATAGATTCCCAATCAGCTCAACCATCAGTGGATGTTCATTTACAAACCCAAACAATAAAACAATTATTAGAACTTTTATCTCTTAGATAAATCCAGACAAATGAGTTTGCATTAGCAAATGATGAATTGTAATTTATACCTCTTTATAACTCTTTAATTCATTCAGAAATCAATGAATTCAAGACAGGCTTTAATTCTTTCATTTGGTTATGTGAAATGTTTTTCTCCTCAGCACCATTTCCATGAAAGCTTTTTTTAATTTCACTTTGTCTACATGGAGTTATTTCAACACTAACACAAGCTGTCCAACTTTATCAAATCTTCACATTTTTTGCTTCTTTTTCCTTCACCGTGGATGTTAGCGTAGTGGTTTTTATACAGTGTATTCATCCCTGACAGTCCATCAGGGATGAGTAGACTTTCACCAAATCAAAAGTGCTAAAACAGATTTATGAATACAGGGTCTTCAGACTAGTGATACATAAGTTCCATCAGGCTTCGGTTTAAGTCAGATGTGTTCATATCCAGTTACCTTCTCCATAACACCTGAACCAAAGGAGCTGCTCACCCTAACCCTAATCAGACTTGGTGCTGTTGAGGGAATTCAGCCATCTTGGTTCTAGTGTGTTGGAGGAGGACAGTGGGTCTGGAGGACAGGAGGACCTCCTGGTTTCAAGCCAGCTCACTGAATTCCTAAAATTGCTCTCCAACTCCCTTTGAGAGGCTGTTCCACCCTCTTGTGGACACATGTTTGACTTGCACCCTGTAGTCCATTTTGAACCACCTACCCAATCTGTTTTTGTTTAAGCCATTTGTCCTTGTGCAAATATATATATATATATATATATATATATATATATATATATATATATATATTTATTTATTTATTTTTTTTTTTTTTCAAATTTTGAGTTGCCATTCATTTTACTTCTCCTTTTTCTGTTTTCCTATTGTTTTCTCATCTTTTCATTCAGTGAATTGAAATCTGGTATCTGACCTGTTGCTCTGATCTGTGTCATGTCACGTCGCATCAGGTAAGCTGAGTAACTGCCACGGGATGGCTGCACTCACCCTGCAGCTAGATCAGTGTAATTAAACTGTGATCACACACAGTCCAGTGAATTTGGTCCTAACATTCTCTCCTCTCTCTGCAGGTCGTGTAGGTGTGTGGAGGGACGTCTTCACTGTGTCCATGAATGAGACATTTGATGCTTATTACAGACAGAAGATGGTCAAATCTGACCTAAGCTTTGACTTCTGCCTGTGAGGACAGCTATACTTCTCTCACCAAAGACTCTCACTCCCCTGATACAACTGATCTCTTCAAGTATCTTGAAGAAGATATCTTGAAGAAATTCATGCTTCTGCATCTCCATCAGCTCAATCAGTCTGAAGTTTAACTGTCTGAGAGTAGATTGACCTTCTAAAAAGTTTCCACAGAAATCACACTTGGAACCAAACAGAAATCACTGTGTAGCTTCTAAAATATCAATGATCAGTTCCAAAATTCACTATATTTGTTGAGGCTGCTATGTGCATTTGGGTTACTGTGGAAAGAAGCAGGTTCTGCAAACCACACAGAAAGTAAGAAGTATTTGGACCATGCAGTATTTACATCCACTTTCTTTCCACTTGGAAGCAGATAGTTTCTAACTTCCAGCTGGACTCTGCCCTTGTTCCAAAGACTGTGTGGTTTCTTAAGACAAATCACATCCTGTTCAATATACATAAAAATGGTGTCAGGTCTGCAATATTTCTAATGTTATTGCTTCTTTAATGTACACGTATGAATGTATTGTACTGTTACATTCACCAGATGTGACTCAACATTCACTGACACCTCAGGAATTTGACAGTTGTGAGCTTTCTTCTGAGTTGACTCGGTCTCCATTCCAATTCTCCTGCCTTTATCTTCTTTCTGTAAACGTTAGGTGAACTGTGCTGTCCAAACTAATTTCCACTGCTTAGAGTCTAGCACATAACAACTCAGTATATATTTAACAGAAATGAAGGACATTTGTTGGGTTTATTGTTTATTTTGAAACAATGTTTCTTGGCAATAGATCTTAAACCACTGAAAAGCCTTCGTCATTTCTCTTGTGCAGGAGAGCTGAGACTTTGGATGGCTGAACAGATGATCTGTCAATATTTGGTGTCATTTATTGAATTGACTGACTGTTGAGTAAGAGACAAAATATTTTGGTTATCTAACAATTTATCAAACAAGGGCCTGCTGCTCAAACTACAAACAACTGTCTGGGAGTTGTTTGTAGTTACAAATGTGCCACAATACAACCAACAAACTGGCTCTCCAACAGTACATGATTTATTGCCAAGAAGCATTTTAGCAGCAAAGACCAACCAACAAACAATTCTTTATTGTTTTGTCTTAAGTTGAGACTGAGATGATTGTGGGTGAGGGTGTTTTTATAGAAATTCTCATGAGCAACCACTTTCCCATTATAAACTCCTTTTGACCACCCCACTACTGTATACTTTTGTTAGCACTGGGAAGATCTGTGAAGTAAATACGAACATCGGAACCACCACCTTCTGAATTCTTGATGCTGTGACAGAAAGCAGTGCTTTACGAAAGTATTCACATTACCTGAACCTCTTCACATTTTGTCATGTTGCAACCACAAGCTACAATTATCTTAACTGACTCTTGTTAAACCAGGTATTTTGTGAAGGCCTCTGAGGTTTGCTACAGAGCATTAGTGAACAAAACAGTATCAGTTAGACCAAGGACCACTGCAGACAGGTCAGAAGTTTAAAGTAGGGTTACATTCTAAAAATTTGTGCATCTCTGTTCAGTTCATCATTTGAACATGGAAAGGATGAACACACACAAATAATTGGCCATCCACCTAAACCAAGGAAATAGCCAAGAGATCCATGATAATTTTGGAAAAGCAGGAGAGACCAACAGCTTTTGTGTGAGAATCAGCACAGCTGTCACACCTGAGCTCCCCAGAATGGCCTTTACAGAATAATGTCCAGAAAAAGCTGCTGGTGAAATAATGGCATAAGAAGTCCTGCTTGTAGTTTTCAACAAGCCATGAAGGGAACAAAACAAACATGCAGAATAAAAGATCCTCAGTTCATGGACTGGAATGGGAATACTGGCCCCAGTCAGCTGACACGGCACATCACCATGAGCCATGGCATTGTTGCCACTCGAACCTTGGATGAAGGCTCATCTTCCAGCAGGTCAACATTCTGTCATGAAGTTGGGTGAGTGGCGGTGAGAACGAACACAGTATACCCAGGAGGTGAGGATGAATGGTGGTTTAATGGTGAAATACAGCTCAATACAGTTAAAATAACAGGCTGCACAGTGAGTGGAGACTAATGCTAACTAGTGTTAGCAGTTGCTACTAGTGTAGCAACTGGCAAAGAGCTGCAGCCAAAACAGGACTACAGTTCTACTGTGACGACAAAAGACTACGTGAGGCAAGGTTCAACAGCATTAGACAAGGACTTAGACACAACGAGGATCCAACATAGACACAGAGACACAGGTGACATTAAATACACGGGGTAATCAGGGAACAAGACACACCTGGGAACAATCAAGACAGGATGGCACAGAGACTAACAGAAACAGAACCAAAAATAAACAGAGAAACTCAAATCACTACACATACAGCCAGAGCTACAATAAATAGTTTCAATGAAAGCAGATTTTGGTATTACAATGGACCAGTTAAAGTCCAGATCTAAATCTAATTGAGAATCTGTGGCAAGACTTGAACATTTATCTTCACAGATGCTTCCCATCCAATCTGATTCAGTTTGTATTGATTTGCAAAGAGGAATGAGACGTACCCCTACAGGTGTGCAGCTGCAACTGCAGCCAAAACGTTCTTCGAAAGGCAAGCAAACCTTACAGGTTTATTTTTTCTTTTCTGTAAAACTACCTTTAAAAACATGTTTGTTGCCATGTTGATGTACTTCCACATTATCATTATACCATAATTGTATTGGTCAATCATATCAGATCACCCCAAAATACATTGAAGTTCGTGATTGGTTCCTAAATGTGAGGGTTATTAATTGTGTTGGAAGGCAATGCATGTGTGTCTAAGTGAAATGTGAAGATGTATTTTCACATATTTCATTTCTTTCCATCTTTCTCCCACCAGCAGGTCAGTGGAACGGGAAGCAGGATGTCAGAAAATCCATCTGCACAAATATTCTACTGTTCTCCTTTTTCCATGTTGGTTGTGTGACTCTGTAAATGAGTAATTCTAGTTTAAGTTTGTAGGTTTTCTCGTTTTAACTTTTATAAAACCATCAGTCATTGACTGAGTATGTACTCATGTTGATTTAAGTGCGAAAAGGATTAACACTGAACTTATTTTCTTCAAGCAACAAAAAAGCACACAAATACTCAGAATATCTTTTGCCCAACTAATAAAGGAACTGATTTCTATTAATATTTTGGTCCACAAACTGTTAGAGATCGTCCGTTTAACTTTGCTGTTGTTTCCCTTTGTCCACAGAAAACATGTTCACTGGTTTTACAAAATATTTTACTTACTTGCACACATAATCAATTAATTCAATTACTTACTTAATTAAATTGTAACAAAATTCTGTAAAATGTTTTCACTTTTTTTTTTCTCATGGCAAATGTTAATCCACAGTACTCAGCCACGCCCTTTACTCACCCCACACTCCAGCGGACTGACTACTGACCAGCTCTCCGTCTCACGGGTCCGAAAAGCTTCTAATTCCTGGGTATTACCGCAAATAATATAGAGAACTTTTGTTTAAGCTGGGAGCGAGAAAGATTCGTCTAAGCTCTAACTACCTTCATCCAGACGTTATGACCCGCTTCAGTCTATGATTCAGACATCGGAGTAGCCCCGCCGGTGTCCGAGCTCATAAACCACGTCTGTTCACGGTAGCTCTTTCCCTGTCATTAACGTGCACTTATTACTGGCTTAGATAATTTTAGAGACTAGGAATAAGTCCCAGGGTCATTATTTATCTGAACTAAAGAACGTACGAAGCCCCCCCAATTTACTGGGACCATTAACATTGATTTTACATTAATCAGAAGAATTTAATCTAGTTGACTTAATTAATTTAACTGTCCACAACGTCAATTAGACTTTAGTATTTTTATTAGCAAGCTTTAGCAGGGGAGAAAAGACATACAGCAATTAACAAAGGATTAAGTAATCAATAGATTTAAGAAAATTTAGACATTTCACCTAATTCTAAACCCTACACTGTGTCTTACTCTAACCAGAGGCTTTGGGGGAGGCAATTTTACTCGAACCCAGATGCAGAGACGTTCCTTGGCAGCAGAAAACTTTAACGTCCATGGATGGAGTCCTGTCTTTGTCTTGGCAGAATCCTTTTAGAATAGATCCAAAGTTGAACTGGTGAGAATCCTCAACGAACTCAGTTCTTAATCCACAAAAGATCTTTGTCTATTCCCCATGTCCACTGCAGCATCGTTGTAATCCTTGGGGTTGAGTTTGGGGCCGCGGTCGAATCAGAATCCCGGGTTGTGGGTAAACGGATCTTGTTCCTTTCTTGTGCAGCGAGCAGTCGTCCCGGGGTATCATCACGCAGCCCTCCGTTGATTCTGCATCTCCGTTTGCTCGACTCGAACGCCGCGGAACAAAGAACCCCGATTCTGCGTTTGCATATATTTTTATACCGTATATTCTGCATGTCCGGTGCGTACTTTCCCTGACATCAAGTGCCTTCAGTTAGCCTCAACCTTTCCTCCACTCAACTTTTAACCTTCCTCTTTCTTTAAAACTCAAAGATCAACAATTCAAAACACCTGGTGCAGATATAGTCTCAAAATCTCACTTCCACTTTCTTCCTTGCTTAAAATTCTTTCACCCCTGCAGTCTATAATTGTGACACAGTTTCAGACACTTTTTACTCTTTACTCTTCAACCTCATACAGTAGTTAAAGAAATGATTATATGTATTTTACTCTGGGTTTTATCCAATTACTCAAAATGTTTAGATTTTATTCTTTAAACCTTTAATGCTCAAAATGAGCAATCTGAACTATTTTTATTCACTGCAGGCTGGAAGCTTTCTTCCTCTTTCTTCAGGAAACCTGCTCTTCCTGTTTCATAACTCTCTTTCTGCCTGATTATGATTTTTTATGATTAAATAGAAAAAAGTAGAATTAAAGCAAAGTTTGCAGGACACTATAACAACACACACAACCAGATAAATTTTTTTACCGTCTGACTCTACTGTTGGGTCTTGATGTCACCTGTGTAATCAGTTTTAAAGATAACTTTATTTATTGTTATTAAACTAAAATCTCCAGCATGGGGAAGTGGGCTGAGCTTGACTTTTCTCGACACAAAGCAGCAGAAAACCTGAGCGTAGATCTTCTGGGTGTTGGTAAAGCATGGTGAACCTCAGCAGGACGAGCTCAGCCTGCATTTATAGATCTAGGGGACAACCCAGATTTAGTAATTGTATCCTCTGTTTTTGCAAAGATGCTTTTATTATTATTGTTATTATTATTATTGATTATTTATGGTAATTAACAGAGCTCTTTAGCTCTTTCAGATGGATGCAGTGGGTGCGTTCACACTGCAGCCTTAAGTGACTCAATTCCGATTTTTTTTTTATGTAATGCGACCTGTATCTGATCTTTTCATGGCAGTGTGAACAGCACAGGTCGGATCCTTTTTCGAATGTGACCCATATCCGATACGTATCCGATTCTAATGCGACCTAACGTCCAGGTCGCCTTCATCCGAACTGAACGTCACTGATTCTCAACAAATCTCACTATTCTGCGTCCTGATATGCGCAAGTGGGAAGAAAAACAACAACCATGATGGACTATAATGAAGATTAAGTTGTTAATATGCTGCTCCGCCCGGACAACAACTTCAAATATGTAAGCTAAGCTCCACCGTTAGCCTCCATGTTTACTTCCGCAAACACCGAGCACTTCTTCTTTTTATGGTAGTTGGCAGAACACTTAGAACGCTGACGCTATTGCGCCCTCTACTGCGCATGCGGGACACTTTCAGGTCGTTTGCCCGTTTACACTGCAGAACACATACAGGTCGCATTTACTGGCAGTGTGAACGGCCCCGGCAAAAAAATAGGAATTGCCAAAAAATCGGAATTGAGTTACTTCAGGCTGCAGTGTGAACGCACTAGGGGAAGACAAGTTGCTTTGTAAGGTACTGAGGCTCAACCAAGAACTTACCAACATATTTTTTATAAAGTTATATGTTTATTGTCTGTTGCTTAAATAAGCTGATAAGCTATGAGACTAACTTTTGAAAGAAGAAATAAAACCCACCTGCTCAAACATTTTGTGTGGCCAAGCACTGCTAAATGTTAGCAAAGTGAAGACTTTGGAACTAGAAAAGTTGCTGCTAAATAATCAGATATGAGCATTTTGTTCAGCTGAAATTCAATTAATTTATTTATCGAAACAGTCATTGTTCCCATCTTTTGTCGCTAGAGTCTGAAAACAGGCCTTTCCAACATGATTATTCATGCATAATCATGTCAGTCCAAATATCCACATTCACCGTGAACATGCTTTTTTTCCCCAAGTTTAGAGCTTTTGCTGCTGGGTCCCTCAGCTGCTTTGTAACAGTATATCAACTCTCACAGAGAGGAACAAATTCCATGAGCCTTCCATGTTCCATTCAGGAAATAAAATGCTTCTTGCATTCCTTAAAACATCAGTACAACACATCAACTCTTTAAACTAATAAAACATGATTATCAACACTTTACAAACCATTGTACACATTATTTAATCTATTTCTTTGTCTATGTGCAGTTAACCAACACAAAATATCCAAAGAGGTTTCCAAGGAAGTCAATACTTACCCACTTCCTGCCGA